GGAGAGATGAGGCCCCGGATTAGATGCCATGCATGTATTGTATATAGAATAAGGGGAACTTAGAGCTATCCGGATGGTAGAGATGGATGGCAGGGCATGCGAGAGAGAGTCAAGTCAATCATGATACCCTTCCTACTTTCACCTTCCTGGTCTACTGTCCTCTACTACTAGGTCTCCGCAATTGAATCATGCTAATTGCGGTGATGCATGGGTAGGTATTTTTGAGAGTGATCTAGCCATTGATAAGGCAGCACTAGCATGCACCAGGGACAACTGAGTTGTTGCTGGTAGGCTGGTTGCCGTTGCGCCAAATCACTAGAGTCGGCGTTCCTCTCTTTTGGTTTGAAATAAGATCAGTTGGTGTTATGCTAGTCACTTTCCACCCGTGGGTTTGCATGTACTTAGGGCATGTCGCATCTTTGCTCATTTCGTCGCAATCGGGGAGAGCAACCCACACGAATTGGGCTGCAGTCGAGGGAATTATTGTTCAGGCGGAAATACGATCTGGGACTTTTGATTTGTTATTAGTGTGATCAAACAATCATTTCTTGTTTTTTTGGGGGCACAGACTACAGGACAGTACATCTAGGGGCGTGTTGTGCTAAGCTTTGTCGGTGAGCCCTAAGTTAACGGGCCCAGCTGCTACCTCAGGTGGAAAGCATAGCTAGGCGATTAAGCTTCTGGATGAGAGGGGACTTTTGTAGGGTCATGAAGTAGAAGAATTGGAGATGGATAAGGTTCAACACCTCAGTCACAAATCAGGTACAGACTGTTTGTACATGTGATCTTTACCAGTAATAGGCAAGTGGACAGGACTTGCAAAGAGCCGTTTCAGTACTAATGGGAAGTACTTGACCTAAGGGCGTTGATGATCAGATATGGTATCTTTATCATCATTGACTTCGACACTGTAAAATGCTAGGGCTGTGATCAGGCAATGGAAAAAGCAGCCACGGATTACCTCAGCCCCATCCCTCCATCCCTACACCCCAGCTTTCCCCGCATTTACCACTTCCTCCAGCTCTGGTTCTTCTTCTCGAGCTTCTAGAATCCTCTACTCAGTTCATTGCCCCCAACTATTGTCACCGAGACTCTGTGACTCTGTGCAACACTCCCAAGCATCTTCCTCGTCCCACAGCTTTGTCGATCCTTACTATTTATACTTCCCCCGCAGATCTGTCAGTGGACGGCGCGGATTGATTGCATCATCATCGGAACTGCTGTAACATCTGATCCGTCCCTGAACCTCGCGGCATCCTTCTTTCATCTCTCAGCTGCGGTCAGATGGCATTGCTACTCTTACATCCCTGAGCACGTCAATATCATTATTTTCGTTGGAACTGGCCACTACTGAGCCGTGTCTCGACATGCGCCTCTCCCTTGTACTCATAGCCGCCCTTCAGGCGACTGTGAGTATCGCATCCAGCTTGACCCCTCCGGTTTTGCCCCTGATCGTGCGGAATCCGTATCTCAGCACCTGGCTGGGCAATGCTCGAGATGAGCCCTGGTCTAAATGGCCCATGTTCTACACTGGGGAGGAGCTGGGGTTGTCCCTCATGGCCCAGGTCCCCAGCACAGGCACTGTGTATCCTTTGCTCGGCAAGCCTCATGAATCAGTGTCGGGGTAGGTCAACGTCGCCCCGAGGACGAATCCTATGATTTTGCTAATGGTTCACTCTACAGTGCTTTACAGATCGATTATCCAACCTACCTTGGAGCCAATTACGACGCGTCTACCACCAATTTGACCTACCGTATCAACTCCGCAACTACCGCGGCCCAACACCAGCTCGATATCACCGTATCTTTTCTTTCTCCTATCACCCCTACGTCGACTCTGCGGCAGTCGATTCCCGCCTCCTACGTGTCAATCCACGTGCATGGCAACGCTAGCATAAATGTCTATATGGATATCAACGGACGCTGGGTGAGCGGAGACGCGGGTAGCCAGCTTACCTGGCAATACGATGGATATGGCTCCGAGGAGAGCAAGCCAAGCTTACGCAGATGGCGTCTCCAGAGGAAGTCTGAGTTGCTACTGTCAGAGATCCGAGATCGTGCGGAATGGGGGACTTTACATTTCACCGGACCGGCTGTGCGTCCTCAGACCCCCCATTGAAGGCGGAATTCATCGTGGCTAATGTGCCGACTAGGGCGTCCAATACCAATCCGGAGAGGCATCAGCCGTGAGAAGCTTATTCTCAACCCAAGGTGTCCTGGACAACATCAACGACGACGCCTTCCGCGCCATTGGCGACCGTGAGCCGGTCTTTGCATTCTCCAAATCTTTCGTCTTTTCCCCCGAGGATGGCCGCAGGAGTGACAGCGTGACCTTCACCCTTGCATTGACCCAAGATCCAGTCGTGCAGTATGCCTCAGCGCGCGGGCTGACCCTGATGCGACCCCTCTGGGAGTCGTGGTTCCCCAGTGTCGAGGCATTGCTTAGCTTCCACTACAGTGACTATTCTCATGCTAGCCTCCTGGCTGCGAACTACTCAGCCCAGCTCGCTCAGGATGCCTATCAGTCGGGTGCTCATGATTATGTGGATATCGTCGCGCTCTCCGCGCGCCAGGTCATGGGAGCAACCACTTTCGCGGGGACTCCCGACGATCCCATCCTGTTCTTGAAGGAGATCTCCTCGAACGGCAATTTCCAGACCATCGATGTCATCTTCCCGGCTTTCCCCTTCTTCTTGTACACCAACCCGCGGTGGCTGGCGTACCTGCTGGAGCCGTTGATTGAGCACATGCTGAGTGGACAATATCCAAACACGTACGCCATGCACGATCTGGGGACGCATTTCCCCAATGCGACCGGTCACCCGGACGGAAACGACGAATACATGCCTGTGGAGGAGTGTGGTAACATCCTCATCATGGGCCTGGCGATTGTCAACTCCCTTCGCTACTCGGAGGATACTGCTGCGACCTCCATCTGGTCGACGCAGGGTGCATCTCCCGAGTTGCCTGAGGAAACTCATGGCAAATTCCCTCTGGTCAATCTGCAGATGTTTGGCGGCATCGATCACCAAGACGGCCGATGGGGTGGAGGCACGCAAGGCGAGCACTTGGCTGAGAGATGGGTCCAACGCAGTTATCGACTCTGGGATCAGTGGACAGGTTACTTGGTGGAGTTCTCCCTCGAGCCCGCCAACCAACGTAAGTCATACCTTCGTGGCAGTAACCAGGCAGCGAACTGACACAACCACAGTGTCCACGGACGACTTTGCCGGCTGGCTTGCTCTGCAGACCAACCTGGCCCTGAAGGGTATCATCGGCATCAATGCCATGAGTAAACTGGCCGAGGTGGCGGGCTACCACACCGATGTCACCTACTACAAGGTAGGTCATCGATTTTCCGCTCTCGAACCCGGCTTTAGCTGATCATCACAGAACATCTCGGATACCTACATCGCCAAGTGGGAGGAATACGGCATGTCCCGCGACCAGACGCACGCCAAGCTCGCCTACGACTGGTACGGATCCTGGACCACGATCTACAACCTCTACGCCGACGCGCAGCTCTGCTTCCACCTGGACGGCACCGACAACTCTCCCGACTCCGTTCCAGTGCACAACATCGGCCAAAAGCCACTCACCCCCGCCCCTCCACGCACCACCAAGAAGAAACCCGGCTTCGTCCCGCGCCACATCTACCAGCGCCAATCGATCTGGTACCACAACGTGCGGCAGAAGTACGGCCTGCCGCTCGACAGCCGCCACCTTTACACCAAGACGGACTGGGAGTTCTTCGCCATGGCGGTCGCCGGCGAGGAGGTGCGCCGCGAGATCCTCGAGTCTGTCGCCCGCTGGGTCAACGAGACCGTCACCGACCTCCCCTTCACCGACTTGCACAACACCGAGGGCCGCGGCGAGTTTCCCGGCCCCAACTTCTACGCCCGCCCCGTCGTCGGCGGCCACTTCGCCTTCCTGGCCCTCCAGCGCGCCTGCGGCGGGCGGGCGAGGGAGGGCTTGGCCTTTTTAGATGGCAGTGGCGTCGCGGACCCGGAGGGCACATTCTCGGCTGCCACCTTGGCTGATTGGGAGGCCGCTGCGGCGGAAGCGGTTGCGCAGTTCGGTGGCTATAGCTCTGAGAACACGGAGCTGTAGCCCAGTACTCCGCAGTCTAGGTTCCTGGTTTGTGCTAGTATCTCCTAGGTATATATACGCAGCGCCGTACTCGGTGATTCCTTGGCTGCTAGTTTGGGTAGGAAGGAAGTTGGGACCGTAACCATCTCTATCTCTCTCTCTCTCTCTAGACAATTGAATTGAACCTCAAATGCCCCGACCGTACCACTCCGGACACCTCTTTGGTGCTACATAGCTAAGGCTAGTCAAGTAGGGCAATCTCTCCACACTTACTTACCTATCTGTATAGTCAGGTTTCCACCAGGAGGGGGGGAGCATAGTACACGTGCAGTCTGATGAGGATGGTAGGATAGTAGCATAGTAGACTTAGCATAGTAGAATAGTGAAATATCAATCCGGTCAACGGGAATAAATCATCTCGTACACTGTTTGGTGTATACACTATACTAGATAGACAGAACTATGCAGAATCATACGTAGTCCCAGCCCACAATCACAAATCATCGTATCTGCCAGCCTGCCACCTACAAACCTTCAGCATTCATCTGCGTATCAAATGAGCGACTGCCTGGCTGAAAAGTGGGGGGTTGGGTGCACCGCGAGAGCGAAGATGCAGCAAAAAACCTATGCAAGATATACAAAGTACAGTACTTACTAGTGCATTGCCGGGGAATGAGCGTATCAAGAAACCTAAATTCCGCGATGGCTGATTCGAGCGATCGATCGATCGATCGATATCGATTACCAAGCTTTTTTTTTTGTGCATTGAATGATGTGTGGGTGGGTGGGGAGGAGACCAAATAGGACGAGATATACATGTCCAGCCATTGAGATTACAGGATGCATTAACTCCAAGGCAAGACGACTACTTCGAGATTTCTTGTTGCAAATGGGGCGAAAATCTTCTCATTTTTTTGGGGAGATATTTTGAGGAGTCATATGCAGCTGTCCTGGGACTTGCATAATAGGTGGCGATCAGATTTGCTTTGCTCTCAAGACACGCGATCAAGCCCCGGGCAAAAGGGAAACTAACTGCGCACGGAAAAGACAAGACGGTCCGACTACCTTAGGGAACTTGAAGAGTGGTTCAAAGGATGGGGAAGAGGTTTTCCTGCGCGCTAGGGCTGGAAAGGACGAGGGGGAGAAAAAAATTAAGATAAATTAACGGAACACATCGTGTCAATTGTGAGCGAGTTAATAGAAAAAAATTTTCGTTTTTTTGGAATCGGGCAGATGGGGGGTGAGTTATTTAGTTAAAATAAGACACACGCGCACACACACGCAAGATTTCTTTCGACATGGGGACATGACGGTGTTTGGGGTTAGGCATGAACACATTTATTTGCCACCAAGGCTGGGGAAGTTCTTCTCGTCGACGGTGACGGAAGCGCCGCTGGTAGCAGCGCCGCTGGGGCGGGGAGCGTTGGTGTTGTTACCACCACGGCCGCCGCGGCCGCCGCGAGCACCACCGCGGGCACCACGGCCACGGGGGCCGTTGGCAGCACCGCGGGGGGCCTCGACGAAGCGCATGTCAACCTCGAGGACGTTCTTCTCCTTGCGCTGCTTCTCGCGCTTGGACTTCTCCTCCTTGCCCTTGATGTAGGCCTCCTCCTCCTCGCGGGGCTTGAGCTCCTTGGCGGCGGCCCACTTCTTGTCGAGCTTGGAGCCCTCGTTGGCGGCACGGACGGGCTTGGCGCTCAGGTCCTCCTGGGCGGCCTTCTCAGCAAGGTAGTCGGCGAAGGACTTGGACTTGTCGGCGGGCTCCTCCTCGGCGGCGGGAGTCTGGGGCTCGTTCTCGTCCTTGTGGGCGATGTCCTCTCCGGCCTTCTCATCGTCCCAGGTCTTGTCACCGCTCTGGTTACCCCAGCCCTGGTTCACCTGCTTGCGGGTGTCGCTACAGAACGCATCAAGTTAGTTTTCTGTGTGATCCTGTTCTCCGCCCGCATGTGGAACTTTCAAGTGAGGCATATCGCTGGCGGCGGTGGGTGAAATAAAATGGTTGCTTACGTCTGGCCGGTGCGGGACTGGCGGTCGTGGCGGACACGCTCACCACGCTCACCACGAGCGCGGAATCCGTGGCGCTGGCCCTCCTTGGGGTCCTCGGTGGCCTTCTCGCGGTTGTTGGTGCGGCCGGCGTTGCGGTCGCGGAAAGCTATCCGATCGGAGTGTCAGCCGGGGAAGGGTGGGGTTGCTGCGGGTTGTGAGACATGGTTATGGAACGTACCGGCCTCGTTGCCAGTGGCACGGTTACCGCGGCGAGCGTTGTTGTTCTCGGCACGGGGCTGGGTGCTGGGAGCTTCCTTGGGAGCATCGCGCTTGCCAACACGGGGAGCAGGTCTGTCTACAGCCCTCGTGGGAGGCTCAGGCTCTCTGTTGGGGTCCAATTCAGGATCATTGCCTGTAGTAGCGAAGCGCACGTGCACGCAAGAGGTTAGAGATTGATCGCTTCTTTCATTATGCATCAACAGATGGGCAGGTGAGTGGGATGAGATGGATGGCAATGCGGATGGATCCGCGAGTCGCGCAAGGGTATGTTATGTTGCAGGTGAAAGTAGCACAAACGAGGGTGGATTTGAGGAAGCAGCAGGAAGAGGGCGAGAATTACCAAGAAGCTCGTAGAGGTTCTATTATCACGAAAAGATATGTTAGCCGGGGACATGTTAGATCCTCGATGGGATGTGGTGAGTTCTTTGTGTTGGGCGCTGGGCAACCGAGTTGGACCGAAAGCAACCTGGTCAAATCCCTCGCTCACAACCCCGCTCGCTCGCTCGCTTCCCACTCAGAACAGAAGACCTTCCCAGCTCAAATTGGCGGCCCAGGACCTCCCGAAACGAGCGGATTGACGCGGAATTTGGTGGTGCTGGCTCCCAATCGGCGCGGTAAACGATAGATGACGATGGAATGTCGCGAGAAGTCCTCCTCCTCCCCTCGACGTAGGGAAAAAAATAAAACGCACCTTGGACCGGACGTCCGCCATGACGCCTGGTTTTATGCGGGGCCTTCCGGGGAAGGCTCTGGTCTATCACAACAATTCGGGTCCGACTGAACGGGTGACGGATGGTCGACACAGGCAGAAACCTAGACGACAGTAGGTATCCGGTCTCTCCTTTGGGGATGGGAAATGGGATAGGGGAGATAGAGGGATAGTGGTTGGAGTGAAGGGGTTGACTGACAGTACGGTGGATGGAGGCAACGTTTGTGGTTGCACTCGCCCAATCCGGTAAGGTGCGGATTGCTGCTAAGCGAATTCGGCAATGAGCACCGTGATTGGTTGAGGGGAGCTAGGGCTTAGGGTAAACGGCCAGCGGATGACGCCCTGATGATGCTCAGTGATCACCTGCAAGAAGAGCTTCGAGGTTCTAGGTTCCCAGAAGCATACGAGCTTGCAATCGATGACCGTTGCTGAGCCCATTGTTCACGGCCAATCTGTCATCATTGCTGACAGGGTGAAGCATATTCATCTACTCGGGTGGTGGGAGCTGCTTGTTGGCTACTAGGTAAAGATTGACCAGCATCCAGACTGGTTTCTAAGTAAGCGAGAGGAGCTCCTCCCGCAACGGAGCACTGTACAGAGTAGATAGAACCCTGTCTAGTCTATCTATAGCAATGATTGAACCCCCTCTCCTCCCCAGATATTCATCATTGGATACAATGTCCCCAGTCTCTCGACTAGTGATCCTGCACAGAACGAATTGAAACTGTCCACTATTCCGCTTCTGTATGCTCGTGCTCAAAATGCTCTGCCATTGGATATTGCTTGCTGAGCAATGCTGTCATTGTCCGACACGGGTAACCCACGTGACCTTCCACCCATGTGACCCCGAGCTCACCTACAATTCATGACGCATTCAGGGCGCTGGAAATGACTCGCTATAAAGCAAATCTCACTTGGAAACCATTATCAATCATGTTCATGAGAGCTGAGAGATGGCCCCGATGCAACTGCTCGGCAAGCCGGTCATGCATATATAACGAGCTAAAAATAGACCAAGAATAGACAAGCCTCGCATGAACCACTTTCTTTCGACGCTGCTTTTCTTTGAGAATAGAGAAATCACACAAAATACCGACCGCGACATCAAAACGTCAGAAACGGCAGTGAAACATCAAATCATATGGTATCAACCGCAAAACGCCAGGCAATGCTTCGAAGCTTCAACTTTTGTCTTCCAGTCATAAAGGTGCTCGGGGGCACAGCCAGGGAAAGAAGCCTGACTCCATCCTCGCGAACATCACCCGCAGATGAGAAGTCGCACACATGCAACGCATGGAAAGAAGCAAACATAAGAAACAGGAACTCAATGACGCGTACTATTTTGTTCGTAGCTAAAGGGGGTTTGGAAGTGCATGCTGGCACTGAGCCCGAACGGATCAGCATCCAGCATGGGCTCATAGTTGCCCAAGATATGATTGGAGGAGGTGGTCGGGGCGTTATTGGTGCCATACGCGCCGTTGGTCCCTTCGGCAGCATGGGGGTGGTATTGATTGAGACCATGCTGTCCCATCGGATGGGCGCCCGGAGCCACGGACCCCGGGTTGTTGTAGCCGGACACATAGGACGAGGCCCCTACAGCCGACTCATGCTCGTCGTCGATCATGTCTGCCTGGGCATCATATTCTTGTTCTATGGGGTGGTTAATGCGGAGTTGACAAGCTCACAAGCAGAGATCTTACCTAATTGATCGTAGTGCTTCTGGAAAGGAGATGGATAGTAGGCCGAAGGAATACGAGAAGCACGAGGGCCCGCAGCACTGGGGAGAGCAGACTTTGGCTCCGCCGTATCTGGCTGACCAATACTCATTGGAGGGGTCGTCTGGCTGAGGTTCCGCGAGTGGGCAATCATGTGCGAGCGTTGAGTGTGCGGATCCACCCCAGCCGGAGACATCGCACCTTGGAAGGGGAAGGCGGGCGACTTGGCATGGGATGGGGAAGAGGCATGTGAGGGAGGCGTGGCCTGATACTGAGGCGAGGGAACGCCGTATGCGCCATCGCGATGCTGAGACATGCCAAAAGGTTCCTTAGGGGCGATGCCTTGGGGATGCCTTTGAGCGGAGTTGCGATTGACAGCAGCGCGCTCCAGGGCGGAGGGCGGCTTGGTTGTCATCAGGTTGGGCTTCGCCGGAGCCGTACCGGGGGCCCCAGCCTTGAGTCGCAGTTCAGCTTGGACATCAATGCCTATGAGTGGTCAGCATGGCTGAGACAAGAATAATTTTATCGGGAGATTGGATGCATAGAAAAGGACACCGACCTTTTTCGAGAAGGATACGTTCCAGTAAGGAATTCTTATATCGCAACATCAAGCACTCATCAGCTGCGGTGCGATGGTTCTGTTGCAGCGTCTGAAGAGACTCCTCATTGCGCTTGATAGTTGATTCAAGCTGACGAATGTATTCTGTGCGACGCTCCCGGAATGCAGCCTGGGCCTGGCGGTTGCGTTGCTTTCGCTCTTCCGAGGTGGCGTAGATCTGATAAGGGTCGGGTCAGTCTAGTGAAGCTAAAATGCAGCAAGATAAGGAAGAAGGAATCAGGAACGAACAAGGGGGGTAAGAATGAGATAAAGCAGGTGGAAGGGGAGAGTAGGTGCATTGAAAGATAAAGCAGGAGGGCGAGGGAGGGATCTGACAGGACGATAAGGGACAGAAGGGAAAGGTGATGATAATGATAAATGATAATCGTGCGGGGCCCCGGACTGGCACGCAGGGTCACCTCCCGCCCAAACCCAACCCAGAGAGATAAGAGATGAACCAGAGGGGGGAAACTCGAAAATTATAAAAAGGGAGCAAAGGGACTTCGTCTCTCAGAAGATCAGATCAGTTTTCTTACGTACAGGCTTTCTTCCACCCTTTCGCTTTTGTGTCTGGGCCACATCCTGGGTTAAGATCTCGCCATCCGCCTCAGGCGTGGACACTGCCGAACTGATTGAACCCTCAGGCATCGGCTCTGACTTGGGAATGACCGGATCCGTGGCCGGTTCATTTTGAAGGGGATGACTGGTGGTCTCGACCATAGAGACCATTGGAATTCTAAAGGAAAACGGGGGGGAAAGGACTTCTGATGTCTTGTCCCCCTCTTCCGTGAAATGATTCTTTGCTTGGATGGAAATTGCCTTGAGGGTTTGGGGGGAGGGGGAAGGAAATGGGAAGATTTCCTTGGACAGCGATGATGTGCCCCCCTTGCGTTCTTGCGTGAGTTGGTGGTGGGAATTCGATGGTGGTATTGGATGAGTCACCCAACAGAATCCGGGGTTTGGCTGATATAACCTAGAAAGCCAAAGGAGGGGAAAAGAGGAGAAAAAAAGAGGGGAAACTTTTAGATAATGGAAAAAGAGTCCCCCCGGAAAGAGAACAGGCCAGATGACAGATCGAAGATCAGATACGTCTCAGGGACGAACAAACAAACTTTGACCTGCTTAACACTTCACGGGACACGATGTTCGCCAAAGCTGGGGTAAACGCGGTGAGAGGCGTTTTAAGATTAGATGAGATAATGGGAATGTCTCAATGAGGTAAAACACGTCAGTGTTTAAACCACTTGATAGGGAAGAAGATTGATCCCGGCGGGGAAGGGCTGGGCTGCTGCTGCTGCGAGATAGTAGTTCAGACGCAGCAAACGCGCGGATGGGCGGCAATTGGGGGAGGAGGGGGGGAACGTGCGAACTCAGGCTGAGGGTCGCAGGGAGTCCGGCGGAGCAAGTGACATAAAAGAAATTGGGAACAGTGGTGAGATAGCCAGCGAGCGTCGGCAGGCAGAAAGACGTGGTGGGAGGAAGGAGAAAGTGGGAAAGGGCGAGAGGGTGGGAAGATGTGAGGTAAAATTATTTACTAACAAGAACGGGGTAGACCTTAAGAGGGCAAAGCAAAAGCATAAGAGCGAGACTAGTAGTCAGGGAAAATTTGGAGCAGAAGGAAGGGAACAGAAGGCGTGGAAGGATTAGTATTGAAAAGAGAAAAGGAAAATGTGAAAAGAGAAAATAGAAAAAAAAAAACTACTCTCATCATCTCTCATCTGATCATCATCATTATTATTTTTACTTCTACTCATTCCTTCCCCTCTCTTTCCTCTCTACTTCCATCTCCTGACTCTACAAACTGCGTTCCTTCTTTGCACTGTAAAAATTTTCACTTTCTTTTGCTCTCTGACACTCGCCTCGTCAAAATTTCCTGTGGGGGAATCCAGACAAACCAGTGCGACTGGCCTTTCCAGGGGAAGGAGGGCGACGAGAAAAAAAAGTGAAAAAAAAACCAGGAACAGACGATCCAATCAATTCTGACCCCCCTCACAATCCCACTCGGAGGGGTTTGCGCTGAGAGACAATATCGACTGGGTTGGTGGTTTCGCCGCTTCCACGAACTCTGGTCGGGGCTTGTCTGACGGCCACCAAGTGGATAGGAATGGGCTTCCGTTCTACTACTGGGGACTTTGTTTCAAAGCGTTCTCATAAACGATTGGTAACCTCCTTTGAAATGGAGAACTATACCTACGAACTACCACTACGACATGCTCAATCCACGCAGGAGAGGGGAAACTTCTTCCCTTGTTGCTGCACTCTGCTCACTTCTACCTACTGACTAGCTAAGGTGATCTCGGAACAACTGGCAGCATGCTCGCTCCTTTACCCTCAGTGGCTGGCAGCGGCACCATTTCCTAAGAGAGGGAGGAAGTATCCACCGTGCGAGGTTCTGACCCAGCCGAAGATCCGCCCAAGGTACGGACGGAGTACGCCAGGCGGCCAGACATTCAAGCGAGCACACCCAGAAAGGACAGAGAGGCAGCAGACAAGAGCCAGCAACTTGCGCAGCAGCGAAGTCCAGATCGTCTTCTGACTGGCCACCAGCTCGTCCGCCCTGCCCCATGCAGGGCAACGGGTGGAGAGGGGGGGGAGGAAGGAGAACGTGTCGCGCGGTCTGACGCTTTGGATCGCGGTCCGCGGAACTTGGGATGATGCATCAATGCATTTGTTCGAATGTTCCATGCGGTCCGTCGTCATCCGCTTGTTCGTCACACTAAAGAGAATTGTGTAGTTTGTCTGTAGGTAGGATCTCTATTTTTTTTTTTTTTTGCTTCTTTCCAGATTAGAGGGGTCGTATTCCCTACAGGCCGTCTGCCTTCTGACAGACCATGATGGCTGTTGACTGGGATGAGGGGGGGAGGAGAAGAGGGGGGGAAGTTCTTTTCCCTCTGGTCCACAGCCCGCGGAGATGTTCCGGCCGGGCAACAATAGCACGACGACCACATTCAATAACCAGTGGATGATGGTCCGGCCAGAATTTTTCGTGGGTTCCGTTGGGGCGGAATTCTTGTCCTCTTGCGTCGACCCTCCTCCCCTCACATCTCTCTCCTGCTTTGCAATGACTGTGGTTTGTACCTCGGTTGACTGAGAAGCGAGTTGCTCGATCAGAGAACTCAATTGTCTTGTCTGACCTTCGACATGCCACTGTCATGGAGCAACCAAACGAACCAAACGAACCAAACACTCGTGACCAAACCTGACGAGGATTTTCCCTGCCTCCGCACGGGCCGGGGTCTGGATGGCCTGGTGTGCTTACCATACCATACGCGGTCGACTAAATTGCCCTTGTCAACCAGGAATGACGACCTGCCAACAATTCGCTACCTGCCATAACAGTGCTAGATGAGATCCCTGCGACATAAGCACTACTCGTACTCTCGAATGCGACCAGAAACCAGACCCAGGCCGGACTTTGCCATCACCCAAGTGTACCGATACAGTAACACATTAGGAGACCTCCGATAGGAGTCTGTTTGTGCAGGCCGAGAGCCGGCCCTCGCCTACTACGTACAGGACATACAGTACATACAGTACAGCGCTTCTTTCCCAGATCTGCAACCTCAATATGTGTAAATGCCCGCGGCTTACTACAGGCCTGTCAATCCGGGGAGGGATCAATCATCATCATGAGGTGCAAGCCATGGGATCAGCTGAGGGTTCGCAACAATGGATGGGCTGATGGCAGGGCAAGCAGGCATTTCGCTTGGGTCCTTGGCATCGTGAGAGGGAGAGGAGAGACAACGAGCTGGCATTCTTGTCTCCATAATCGAACGACAACAAGTAGAAGTTTAAACCCTGCAGTTGTAGTCGAGGCAAAAGCAGAATAACATGCACCTCCCTTATGTGCGACTCGACTCTGGGGTTTGCGGTGCATTGCTTTGTCACTCTTTCCCCAGAAAGATGGTGGAAAGTCAGAAGAAAGGCCTCTTTGTCATACGTATACTGAGTTATGCTTGTGGCATTTGATCCCTGGCTTTCATTTCCGTAGCACCCTGTAAGAACCGATCGATGCTCGAGTCTTGCCTCTCAATTGCAGAGAAAATCCAGTTGGGGTGCAATAACTTCAAGTGTAACCCCCTCAAGACAGGGCAATAACCCCCATTGAATCCAACCAGGTCATCACTGAAACAACATAAACTATTCTAATTGACATGGTCGGTCGGCATTTCGAAGTTGTGAGGTAGTTAGTGGTTAGCAGTAGAGCCAACCCCAACCCCAACCCCAACCCGCCAACGGGGGCCTCGGGAAACCTGAGTCGCGGCGCCGCGCTCCAATGTCATCTCCGGATTAATCAGGCTTCTTCACATGAAGAAGGAAATGAAAGGGCCAACGCTAACAAATCTTCAAATCTTCAATTCCTCCTAAACCATTCACCCACCCCCCACCTCCAGACACCATCCGGCCTTTCACCACTCATTTTGACTCCAAACAAGAGGTTCATCCTTTACCGCGAAAATCCGCAACTTTATCTACTCGATATAAAAACCCTGCGGATCTGCCACCGGAGAAGCTGGAATAGACCAGACCCTGGACCCCCTCCCCAGCACCTCGGCTATACACAACCTCCCCAAAAGCAACGCCGAGAATGTCCTCATCCCCCCCCTCCCAAGCACACGCGAGTCCTGCGCAGACGCAACCCACCGCAAGCGAGCACGCCCAAACACCATCCAACCCCTCCACCACCAACCCCGCAGAGACCACGACAGCCAACCCCACGAGCAGCACAACATCTACCACCTCCCAATCCGCGCAACCCGCCAACAACGACGAGGATGATTCCGATTTCGACGAGTTAGACGGTCCGTCTTCCCCTCCTCCTTTCCTTTTGTTTGTGTTCAAAGTGATAAGAGTGACGGCTAACAGTAAGCGGGGTAAATTGAAAACAGAGGTCCTCGATAACTTCAACAAACCCACCGCCTCCACGACCACGCAGCCGCCCTCCTCCGCCGCCGCCACGACAGGTGCAGCCACCGCTACCGCCACGGAGGATGTCGATCTGGATGAGGAAGCTTTCCTCAAGCAACTCGAGAAGGACATGGCTAATTTGATGGGCGCGGGCGCGGGTGATGCCTCGGCGGCGGGTGGGATGCCCGAGGGGTTTGGGGACGAGGAGTCCCTTGACAAGGACGCGGAGATGTTCGCCAAGTTGCTCGAGGAGGGTGGGGTGTCTGCGGAGGATTTCTTGAAGCAGTTGGTTGGGGATATGATGAAGGGGGAGGCGGGGAGTGCGAAGGGTAGTGGTGGTGGTAGCGGCAGCAGCAGCGGCAGCAAGAAGAAGAAGAGTAAGAGTAAGAAGAAGGGTAGCGCTGGTGGTAGCGCTGGTGCGACGGCTGGGGAAGCGTCCGCGACGAAGAGTGCGCCTGCGCCTGCAGCGACTGATGCTGCAGCTACCGCTACACCGGAGACCTTCAACGACACGATCCAGCGGACGATCGAGCGCATGAAGGAGTCCGGCGACAAGGCGACGGCCGCGGCCGAGGAAGAAGACGACGGAGATGATGCGGACGACCTGGTGGCGCAGCTGATCAAGGCGATCGAGGCCGGCGCGGGCGGCGCGGGCGGCGACGGCGACGACGCCGACCTGACCAAGATGTTCCAGGGGATGATGGAGCAGCTGTCCAACAAGGAGATCCTGTATGAGCCGATGAAGGAGCTCGACACCAAGTTCGGCCCTTGGCTGGCGGAGAACAAGGCCTCCGGCAAGGTGTCCGAGGCGGAGCTGCAGCGCTACGAGAAGCAGGCCGGTGTCGTCGCCCAGATCGTCGCCAAGTTCGAGGAGCAGGGGTACACGGATGAGGATCCCAAGTGTCGCGAGTATGTGTGGGAGAAGATGCAGGAGGTGAGTGTGGCCAGCCAGCTTACAACTAAAAACCGTGGGACAGGTTTGGGGTACCTGATTGTGGACTAACTGACTTGACTGTTGTATAGATGCAAGCTTGTGGTAATCCCCCGGATGAGCTGATTCCGGCGCCGATGATGGAGGATCTTATGGGTGGAGGGGCTGGAGCTGGGGCCGGCGCTCCGGACTGTCCGCAGCAGTAGAGGTCTATTTCTTGTTCTCGCACTGGTGGATGCTGATGTTTGTTTGATCGGATGTTATGATTGCTGTTCCTCTGGCATTTGTCTGTCTATGTCTTGTACATATATCCCTCTGTTTGCGCTCTCCCTAGACGTATGTCATGATGGTTTGACTTAGTGGCTGGCAACGAGAAAGTAGTGACTCTGTGTGTAAAGGTCGTGAGAGGGAGGGACCCAGAAAGTGAATATATGGCAATCATAGTTCTTGTAGTACGTCGCTCACCCGTGCGTCCATGCCATTGAGACCATACATTATATACCCAGAGCCTGCAACCATCATCTACTGGTCCCATACCGTATAAATACACAGCCCCTAAACCCAACCTCCAGCAAACGCCCAAGCAGTTCATGACACAAAAAAACCTTCATCAGACTCCCGAAGTCGACCAGCGACATTCCGAACCAGACAACCACTCCCCAAAGAATCACGACATATCCATCTCCTGACTATGCGCAAACCCCTCCATCTCCGTCTCCCCCGCCAGATCCATAAAGATATCATCATAATCCTCATCACTAAACGAGCCTGAGCCCGCCGGGGCATCAAACCCGCTCTCCACCCCCACCTCAGCAAAGGCACCCCGCTCCTGCTCTAAAAGATACTGATCCAGCGCGTCCATCTCCGCACCCGCACCCTCATCATCCCTTTCGGTTTCCTCCTCCTCCACCAACCCATCCCACCCAGGCCCCAACTCACTCACCGCCGACCGCCGCATCGCCTCCCGCCACCGCTTCTGCTCCGCCACATGCTCCAGCAGCACCAGCTGCTCGCCGCGGTTCTCGAAGCGCCCGTCCGCGCGGTCCCGCTTCACGCGGTTCAAGAACGCGTTACGCCGGGTGGTGCGCGCCGCCGGCGAGGCCGAGGTCCCCGTGTAGGGTCTGGTGGATCGGGCGGCGGCGTTGGCGAGCGGGTTGGCGATCTGGGCGGCGTAGCGGGCGGCGAAGCGGGAGGGGTTGTTGGTGGAGGATGCGATCGGGCTTGTTGTTGTTGGAGTCCTCGTGTTGTTGCTGTCGAGGTTGAAGGAGAAGAGCGGGCCCGCGCTCGTGGCAGCGGAGAATGGTTTTTGGACTGGCGATCCGAAGCAGGATGCTGATGTTGGGTCTGGTTGGAGTGGGGAGGAAGGGAAGAAGGTTGTTAATGGGGTTTCGGGGTCGGTGGGTGCTGCGCCGGCGGCGGTGTTGGCGGTGTTGGCCAGAGGGCTGGAGAAGAGGTTGCGGTTGTTGGGGTAGCTGGTATTGGGTGTGCTGGGGGTGGCCATTGATGAGGAGGATGAAGATGGTGAAGAGTGGTGACGGCGAGAGGAGAGTGGTGAGGGACGCGTGGGTGTGGTTGCGGTGGTGTGCCATGGATTCGAAAATGGTTGCTGCTGCTGCTGCTGCTGCTCCTGTCGTTGATATACAGGCTGCGTCGCGAACATCATTGCGAGCGGGGAATTGTTGCGGATAAGGAAAGGAGGAGAGAAGAAGAGAAGCAGTGCAACTGTACTGTACTCGGCAGTCGTGATGTGATTCCGCGGTACGAGCAGTGAGGTTTTGGGCTTGGTTCCGAGCGGTAGTCCCACTTTTTGTCTATGGTTGTGGATGTAGATAAGATCAGTTGTAGAAAAGAAGAGGACTCCAATGGGTGATAAGCATCAATGGCGAGAAGATGTTCTGGCTATTTACAGCGGTGTCTGTCGCTTGGAAGATTGTCCCAGCCACTGCGATAAAAGGGAAAGTATTCGCATTTCGCATGCCGGATGGGAAATTCCCTCCCGCAACGCGTCCGCGTCAGACACGGAATCACGTGCTTGAAGTGGCTTCATGCCTCAGGCCTCAGGCTCACAGGCAGCGCAAAGGCAGACATGACATGTCAGCTCCCCCCCCCAGCCCAAATAGGAGGCGGTAATGTAGTCAACTTGAAGATCATGCTTCTTTATAGAAAGCTCGATGATATTCAGGGACAATCCCCGGGCGCAACGCGTTTTGCCTCAGGCATAGGCTAGATATGCAATCCACCTACACAAGCCGAATGGGAATGAACACTTCCAATACAGCACTGTGTCGATTCGAAACTGTATAACCTTTCATGGGTTCAGTGATAGCCACTCAGAAACACATTTTCCTGAAATGCATTCATTTCGCATCCCTAGGCAAAGCATAATGACGACATACTGCCGGACGGGATGTGAAATGGTACGCGCAGCGACCATCTGCAGGGGAATACGTAGTCCATCGACTGATCATGAGACCGTCTACTTGACGCCCCCGAAGCAAAATATTGCATAACATGCTTCAGGAGGCGCCCTTCTGGTCAACAATCTACCGCAGATCCTACAACGAACAAACTTGATACTTCTCAAACATTCGGTCAATTAAATACATACAATCAAAAGCTTTTTGAAGGCTGAGATCGAAGACCTGCAATCCAGAGAGCAAAGATAGTGAGACGCGAGGATGCCACTGTCCAGCGTCCCCTAGAATGAATCAAATGCTTCGAGGGGGGAATCAAAGTAAACAGAGACCAATCATGCTAGAACAAAATCCGCTGTGCTATGTCAAGGAGTGTAGTATATGTCGGAAAGAAGCGACATGTAGTCTATCAGAGAACGGCAAGGGTGATTCTTCAAATGTGAAACACACATCAGAACAAAGGACTGGATAACGATGAAAAATCAGACTCGAGGAATTCCTCGCCCACAAGCGCCATGAAAACTGCGTCATAATCGTACAAACTTTACAGTTCCGGAGGGAATATCCAGACGTTGTATCTTATCTGAGACAAGCAGATACAGAGACCGAATATCGGGCCAGACTTAAAAGTTTGATGCCGCATTCACCGGACCAGGGTTGTGATACTGGTCAAGCGTGGTCTTGAAGGGCGTGCCACCGGCACCGGGGCTAGGAGCCTTCTCGCGAGCACCGGATCCAACGGCAGTACCGCTCATGAGGTCGGCAGCTTCGTCGTTGTCATGGGCAGCCTTCCGAGCATGAATTCTCCAGGCCACCACCGCGATGGCTCCAATGATGATCGCACCACCGACACCCACAACAACACCAATGATAATCTTCTTCTGAGAAGACGAGAGGCCGGAGCTGCCGCTGGAACTGTTGGAAGAGGCTCCACTGAGGCTGGGAGAATCGGTCGCGCTGCTAACCGGAGTGGAGGTAGTGGTGATGGTGGTCTGCACAGGGGTTCCGCTGATGGTCTCGGTGGTGACAACGGTCTTAACGACAGGGGTAGCAGTGGTCTGGGCCGTGGTCTCGGAAGTGGTTGTAGAGCTATCGTTGCTGTTATTGTTGTTATTGTTGTTGTTGTTGTTATTCGACGAGCTAGAGGTGGCAGCGGCAGCATTAGTAGTTTGAGATGCGGTCGTATCCGCTGCTTTGGTTGTCTTGGCTGCTGGTTCCGTGGTACTCGTGGTCTCTGAGCTTGACGTAGTAGTGGGCTCAGACTGACTGGTGGTGGAAGTGGTGGTCTCTTTGGTGGATGAAGTCGACTCGGTTGATGAGGTTGACTCGGACGTTGTGTTAGGAGCAACCTCTGCGGTAGTAGCAGCCGCAGCAGAGGTGACAGCGTTTCCTACGCCCGTGACCGCGGCGCTCTGGCCAGCGACGACGGCCACGAGGGAGAGGGAGTAAAGGAGGAACGAAAGACGAGCGGCTCGCATGATGACAGCGGTTGGTTGGTTGGGGGTATTAAGTCGGAAGTCTAGTATCTCTCAAAGGCTTCCAGCGCCGAACGGACGGAGGTTGTGGGAGATGACTGGCAGACGAGACGTAGATGGGTATATTGAGAAGGTCAGATTTCCAACGCGACAAAAGCCCAGATGGGAGTAAGCGATCGTATCTGTAGTCGGGGAGAGCGTGGAGTGGGTAAAGACACCGATGAGATAGGTGTCTAGATGGAAAATGGAGGGGTTAACGAGAGACTGCAGATGTAGAAGACACCCGAAGGGCACACACACGATGCAATATGGGGTGGGTAAGAGAAAGAGCGTAAGGAGGTGCGGGATGGAGATTATTGAAAAAGGACTGGAGAGGGCGAGAAGGGAAGGGAAGGGAAAGGTCAGTGAGTGGCAGTGGGGGGACGGGAAGGAAAGGATTGGACTGATCCGCTCTCTGCCTCTCCCTCTTTCTCTCGCTCACTCAGTAATCAGTCACTCACTCACTCACTTCACTGCAGTCCTTTGCACAACCGTCCGGCCGCTGAAAGTCACCGGGGCCAGGCAATCCAAAATCACCAATGGTAAACGCGCGCCCAGCCGTGGGCGCTCCCTAGTGTTGGCGCTAATGAGGTCCACTGGCCAGTCAGCGGGAGCAATATGAGACAGATTGACCAGGGGGTTCACTATATTTTGGAACATTTTGTGCATTGTTAGCCCATTGTGACTTTGTGAGCATTTTCAGGCGCCTGACTTCGGGGCAGTGTCTTTGTTTGGAGGCTTCGGAGGGGGAGGTTGGGTCGGCAATCCCACTTTTGATTCGTGGTCTTTCCACCGGCACACCCGAACCTCCTTCATCAATGGGTCTCACTCATACCCTAAGGCCGTTAGGATTATTATCTGTCTCCATATTCCCGTACTACGACTAAATTATGAACATACTGTGTACAGTACAGTGAAGCCGGTAGACCACTAATTATGACTGCTTAGGCTAGCACACTGCTTTTGCCATCCCCCTTCATCACTAGCCAAATTGATAGTGTGGGAGATCTTTATCCGATCATCAACAAATTAATGAAGATTCCGCGACTATGGTTCGGTGATACTATTTTAAGGTCTGTACCGTGGATTTGACGTACCAACGATGACAGTACCACAGAACCTCACTCGGGTTCATCTTACAGTTCCTTTCTTACAGTCCTTACTCCTTAGGTCCTTAGGCAAGACTCAAACATCCCAAACAATGCCATCCACCAGCCCGAGTTTCTCTCCCTTGGACTTCATGTTTCGCCTGAAAGTCCCGCATTCCTCCGCGTCGTGGGCAGTGGAGTAATTACTCAGTCAGTCCACATCATCCATCAGACCCTGGGACATAGTGCAAAAAGGTACTGCATGAAAAGGAATTTCTGATTGGTACCCGGTCTCGTGCCTGAAAGAAAATTTCGACTTAGACCCATCGACATTATGCCGGTGCAGCCGACGGTGCTCCATAATCAGACTACTCTGTTTTCCTTTTTCCTTTTTCTTTTTCTTTTGGGGCGGGAAGATCGCCTTAACCACCCAACATAGTTTAGCGTGGCGAGACAGAAAGAACTGCAGGGGCAAGCCATCCCTTCTGACCTACGGATATGTGTACAGTACTTGGGTGACTAGGCGATGCTGGAGAATGCCCTACGGTGGGTATTGTGCCGTTATCCGGAGCAATTGGGATGCATACATACTATTATGGCCCTGAGCTTTGTGCATCTCGAACGAGTCCATTGGTCTTGACTTGTGTCTGGCCAGTCTGCCATGGAACAACCAAGTGGTCTGGACAATGTCGAAATGGGCAAAGCTTGCGTGTCGCACGCAGTTGAGGCATGATCGGATGGGCAAAGCTTGGTCTTATCAGATCTCGTTGACACCTGACTCCCTCAGAAAAAGACAGTTAACAGCTCCCCTCCGCCTCTCTGATCCGTGATGTAAGGGTGTCTCAGATGTAGACATGCGATACCCAGAGTGATATCATCCTAAAGTCCACCCATTAGAGCTGAGTGTATCGGGCTGCTCAGAACCTGCAAGACCGTGCAGCGACAGCAGCAGAGTCAACTGCTAAGCGACTTGCATTCGCAATTCAACCATCATGCAATTTCTCTCGCCTACCAATATGTCGGATTACCCATATAGGAATCTGTATGAGAGCAACATGCTAGAGTCGTTGAAAATTGTCTAAGCCTCGCTATCATCATGCAGAGATCCTCGCCGCAACCTTTAGACCACCGCATGCTCCGGTTGACTATTTCTTACTACTATGTAGTCATGTATGTATCGTATGCATCATCCGAGATCATACCTCTCAAGCCGCATTGCTTCGATCCCGGATATCCCGGCGAGCTACTCCGTACACGAGATACAGTATGCACAGATGCGCAGTACCAGGGCCCCTGCTGCCGGCTGAGAATCACTCGTTCCCATCGCAAGCCACCTGAAATCAGCCACTACCTGCAGAGACGGACTGAGTACGATCAATCGGACACATCACACTGTACGGTGCGATAAACAAGCCACCGCCAGGGCCTTCCAGACAGTAGCAGGAGTCTTACAAAACCACCTGATCCAACCCTCGTAAACACTCATAGCCCAAAGCTTAAGCACAAAAACAATAGTTGCTAGCAAGCCACCCGAGCGTTGCCACGAGGAAAGGCGGCAGTTGCCACGAAAGCGAAGCCACTTTCTGCTGACTCTGCCACAGCGTCACTTCCCATCAATTCTGTCTGGCTCACCGTATGTTCGTTGTCCGATGTTTACGAAGAAGAGAATACCCTACGGAGTATCCCGTCTAATCTTCCCTTAACGCAATACGCATATGGATTCTTGGTTTCTGCTAATTAGCGGGCACATCTGCGATTCGGGTCGTAGACGTTCCCGAACTAAATTTATGGGAAATGCAAGTTGCAACTCTGTATCTCAAACCTGTAAGTGGTAATTCTGAGAATGGAAAAGAATCACACCCTGCTGAGTTGGCAAAAACACACAGTACCTTAGCAAAAGTAAACAGAAGGAAAAGGAAGGGTAAGGGGAGGCGAGGGAAACAGCCTGGAAAAGGCCCAGCCCAGACCCCTCGAGACCCTGCATGACACCTGTAGCGGTAAGTTGTAACCACGGACGGAGAGGCACGCACTGCTGCTGGCTTCCGATTCAACCCTACTAAAAAACACATACAACATAAACAAGATGGGGCCACTTTCCAATCCAATAATAATACTCATGAGACGTTCTTCATAATAGCCAACTGTCTCTGCAATACATTCAGATAAGGTGATAGGTAGTAGATAACTCTCCGGAATTTAGGGCGTGACTTTGCCGTTTCCACAACATTCCCTCTTCCCCCCCTCAATGCTTTCCGGCTGATCGGCAGTGGGTGACGGGTTCTAGACTTCCTGTTGCACTCTTCACTGCCAACCCCCCCTCCCCCACCGGGGTGGTCGTCATCCAACGTGACTGGGCTCTTGGGGAGGAAGGGGGTTACTCTGTCGGGTTGAGTACTGTACTTCCATGCACTTTCTCGTAGGGGTCTGGATCTGGAACCCGAACAGGTGGGTGGGTGGGTGTGGTGACGACTACGTGGAGCGGTTGGAGCTTTGGAGGTTCCGCGGGTTTATCTACCGGGGCGTGTGTGGGTTCGGCCTACGCGTGCGTGCGTATGTTGTTTGGGTGGATGTGTGTGTGTATGCTGATGTTCTTCTGGACAGACAGGGTCGGTCTAATGTCCATCTGATTTGTGTACATCTAATGTACAGTACTCATGTACCCGTACAGTCGGATGGCGAAGTATGTAAGCTTGAATGCTTGGGGGGGCCTTTGACAAATCTATCTAAGTTGGCGACTGCTTCAACCCTAAGTTAGTACTCAGTAGATGATATTTAAAGGGTTTTGTGCTAGTCTATGCGGTTTGCCCTGCTTTGCCTTGGGGGAGTCAGTTGTGCATGACTTCCCAGCGGCTGTGCAGGTCTTGCTCGCACAGGCGGGCGTGCCGACTGCGACATGGGCAAGGCTGGATATCTGCGAGGTAGGCATATAATTAGATGCATGGGTTCTTCCTGGATGACATCTCTCTTCAGTCGACGAGTTTCCGGGATTGAGGTTGCTGGTGCGAAGATATGAACATTGATGGTTCATGTTGCCTACAGTTGTGAGATGTTTACTTTCATTCACAGATTCGAGCTGGGTGGACGAGAGAACCGATTTAATGAAGTGGAAGAGGCAGGACGAGTGCTCGCTCGACACTGGTTCAGATGATGGATGTACGCTATGCAATACACCATGAGTTGGTCTGGCACCAAGTAAGAAACCGGAGAATTACTTAAAAACAGTCTTATTTGTTGGGTATCATAGGGATATAGATTGGTTGATATGAGCCTCCGCAATCGAATTTCCAGATTGCCGATCAGTACTTCTCCGTGGGCTTTCCTTTGAATTGATTCTGGCACTCCTCCTTGAAGTATACCCAGAACCTTCTCGAGGTAGAATCTAGGAATGTATCTTGTCAGGACCACCAATCCCCACTCAATGTGTTTCGAGACTCTACACAGATGGCAGTCAATCTGTGTGTGTGTTGTTTGGCATACCAGGGTTTGAGAGACGGCCGGCGCCGCTAATCCGGGGCGTCTCTGGCGGAGGCACGCCGTGTTTCACACGTTCGACTTGTTCATGGACCTTCCCAACGACGCGGTGAAACGTCCGGCTGGAGAGCAGCTTTTTTGTTATAGTGAGCGACTTTGGTCAGTCTTAAGGTCCCGCAGCGGACTTCGGCCATCGTTGACAAACCTGACGAACGAGCAGGGTCTGAGAGAGAAGGGAAAGTGCATTAGCATTAGGCTGCTGTGTGATGAAGGAATGAGAGGAATCCATTATGCCCAAAGACACACACCTCCAACGCTTGGAGCCCAAGCATCCGGAAGACCATCCTGCTCCTGCGGATATCCTCAGGGTATTGATCAGTCGACCGTCTATCGTTTACCGATGGA